TTAATAGCTTACCTTATTGGTTGCCCCCACTTCCCTGTATTACATCTCTTTTTCCTTCTGTTCCTTGCGCTTCTCAAATTAACTACTGCTTGCATTTGAATCCCTGTCCCAGAGTCTGCTTCTGAGAGAACCCAAACTAAGACAGGGACAGTAAGCTACCTCACATCCACAAGTTATTAGAACTAGATTCAGTAGTGTCAGCCAACTTCCCAGAAGGGCAGTTAGTCCATCTCATTCATTTCTTCCTTTTCTCAGTCTCACTCACAAATCAGTTAATAAAAATAAGCATTATTTGCTTAGGCAATTAGAAAGTACGCTGTGATTTCATGGGTTTATAAGGCCACCAAAATCTTTGTATGCGGCCCATATCTTACAGTGATTACCAAAGCACATAATTTATATCTTCAGAATATCTCTAAGATAAGAGAATTGATAAATAGGAAAAGTGGATTTTTTCTTTTACTGTAATCATGATGTATTAATACTCATGAATTAACATAAAGAATAGAATCCAAATATTAACATGTCAGGAGTCTAAGTCAATCTGTTGTAGCTTCAAGATCATGGAAATTTAAGCATTAGTTTTGAACATAGTTCTGTAGATATTTCTGTATGGTCACAGATCACTTGCAAGCAAATGAAATGTTAAATATAACTCTGTCAACTCTGTTCATTCCTATTATAATACATCTTTTATGTCTTTGCCTTATTTCTATTGGTGATTTATACTTAATTACAACTTTTATTTTCATTCATTAACCTGTGGACTGATAAAGCTACTATTCCTATTTCTTGGAAGAGACTAAGAGGCAGTCTGCTTCCATTTCTTCTGTTTTTTCTCTACATCTGAGAAGGTTGCAAAAAGTCTCCTTGTCCCTTTACAGAAAACAGAGCAAAGACAGAGACCAGAAATATGTAGTATAATCACTTTAGGATAAACCAGCTGTGGGGCAGTTGTTAAGCAGCGAGCTGCAGCTGTCTTTGGCCATATCTTCTGAGTGTGACTTTTCTTTCCTTTGGATAGAAGGGAAGAGAAGAAAAGTCAGTAAAAATGAAGGTAAATGCAGAGTTCCAGGCTTCTTCAGCAGTTCTCCATTCTCCAACTCTGCGTTATTCAATGTCCATGTTCCCTAATTTACTTTTGACTTGTCCTCTGATACCATTTCAGAGGCATAAGTAAAGCTTTAGCATCATCGTATAACTGAATTGAATGTGTTTCTCAACCACTTAGCATACTCCATAGGAATGTTCCATTTAATACCTAAGGGTGAGAGGGTTGGTAGTTCTATCCCATCTTTATCCAATTTAACGACTGGGAGTTTGCCCCTCTATCAACACTTCTGCAGAGTATCCACAGAAATGGCAGGTACCAAATTCTGATCAAAATAGCCACTGAATTCTCCTCAGGCATTTATCCCTGCCTCTTACAGACTGAGTCATGTGGCTTTTTTTATTATTTACATTTTTACTTTTAATTAACAAATAATAATTGTATATACATTGTGTAATGATTATATCAAGCTAATTAACATATCCGTCACTTCACGTAACTTATTTTTGGTAGTGAGATCATTTAAAATCTGGAGTTTTTTGTAGCAATTTTGAAATAGAAATACATTATTATTAACCATCGTCACTTTGCTGTGCAATAGATCTTGGAAACTTACTCCTCCTATCTAACTGAGATTTTGTACCATTTGGTCAACTTACCTCCATTCCTCAATCCCCCACACCTCCTGTTTCTGCTGACCAATATTCTGTTCTCTACTGTTCTTTTTTTTTTTTTTTTCCTGTCTATAACTTAGACTGGATAATTTCTGTAGATCTATTGATACGTTATCTAAGGACACTGAAATTCAAATTTCGTATGACAGACAGTGAACCAGTTTGGTCTGCAGACTTAGTTTGCCAGTCCCTAATTTAATTCAATCCCTGATGGACATGTTTAGAAGGTAGGCTTACTTCTTTTCATTTCCAGGTTACTTTTTCTACCACAGTGTGATATGTTTGGGGTTTATTAAAAGCCTGGGGTGTTTTGTCAGAGCCTTTTCTCCTTGCAGTCCCTGAACTCTCCCTCTGTATTTTTTAACCTATTGGCTTCTGCTTTCACAATGACCATGTGCATTCAAGGGTAAAAGTAGCCTATAAATCCTTGACATGACTTCTTTTCTTAACCTAGCTTTAGTCTCTCAATACTTCACTATTTTAGTAGCTCTCCAGTGCCTTTAAATGGATGTTTAGGGGTTTTCTTTGTTTAGTTGTTTTTTCTTTTTGTGTTTTTGTTTCTACATTTCATCCTGTTTTTTCAGTGGTTTGCACTACAAGGATTGGGCTGAACTGCCTAGGTTATCATTGTTTAAAGTGGAAAAGCTGTCCAAGAATCAGTTTGCAACTTTAACTTTCCTGACTGCCAGATGGCACTCTTTGAAGAATAACGTTTGCTTCTATATATAGGGTATGGGGTGGAGAGTTAAACCCCAGAACTGCTACTCAAATGGAAAGTACAGCTTTTTTATTTTTTATTAAAAAATGAACTTTATGGATGTGTAATTTATACAAAATAAAATTTTCCACAGGTTTTAAATATATAGTTCAATGAAACACCAATAAATTGAACTTCCTTTTTTTTTTTTTTTTTTTGGACAGAGTCTTGCTCTGTCGCCAGGCTGGACTGCAGTGGTGCAGTCTTGGCTCGCTGCGACCTCCACTTCCCGGGTTCAAATGATTCTCCTGCCTCAGCCTCCTGAGTAGCTAGGACTACAGGTGTGCGCCACCACGCCCAGCTAATTTTTGTATTTTTAGTAGAGATGGGGTTTCACCATGTTAGCCAGGAATTGAACATTTTTATAACCGCCTACAAAGTTGCTTTTTTCCCTTTTGCAGTCATTCTTTCTCAACTCCTGCCCCAAGCAACCACTTCTCTGATATCTAGCATTATAGATTGTCCTTCTCTAGAATTTTATGTAAATGGAATTAGTGTCTATGTATGTAAAGTTTGTCTAGATTTATTAGCTCAGCAAAAATGATTTGCAAGTGCTCTGTCATATGCATCTGTAGTAAGTTCCTTTTTATTGCTGAATAGTAGTCAGTTGCCTGAATGTACCAAAATGTGTTTATCAGTTTTCTTTTTGATGGACATCTGAGTTGTTTCTAGTTTTTGGCTATTACAAATAGAGCTGCTTCCAACATTTTTTGATGAATATTTTTGTGGATGTATGTTTTCATTTATCTTTGGTTAATTCCTAGGAGAGCAATTTGAGTCACGGAATGTGTATGTTTAACTTTATGAGAAACTTCCAAATTATGCTTTTTTTGCATTTGGAAAAATAATGCTTTTGCATTTTCACCAGCAATACATAAGGATTACAGTTGCTCCACACCCTCAAAATCTCTCGATACTGTTAATCTTTTTAATTTTAGTATCTTAATGGGTATGAAGTAATGAAGTACCATCTTACTGTGGTTTGTATTTGTATATCACTGGTAACTAATGATGTTAAGTGTCTCTGATGTTCTTACTGGCTGTTTGTTCATCATCTTTTCTGAACTTTTTTAACACAATTTCTTGAACTGGGTTCTTTGTTTTGTTGTTGAGATACCAGTTTTGTATATGTTCTTCATGCAAATGCTTTATCAGATAGAAATTCAGTATTGCAAAAATGTTCTCCCAGGTTATAGTTTGTCTTTTCATTTTTTAAATGATGCTTTTGAATAAATGTTTTCAATTTTGATGAGGTCCAGTTTTCATTTCTTTTTTATAGTTAGTGTTTTTTGTGCTTCTCTAAGAAACCTTTGCTTACCCACTTGATCATGAGGTTATCCTCCTAAGTTTTCTTCCAGGATCTTTATAGCATTAACTTTATATTTAGGAGGAAAAACTATGCATGAAAACTATTGCATTTTAAAAATCAGTGTTATCCCTTTGTTAACCTAACAGAGAGTGTTGGTTGAGTGTTTGCCACATGGTATTTCAGAAGGTAAGGCACTTCAAATAACTGTCCAGGACATTTTAAAGTCATAGTTAGGATGAATTTTTACTTCAAGATGTCTGATTACTTGTTACAACTCATAGATCATAATTACATTTCAATCTATCTTTGTAATGAGGAGAAAACTACACTCTAACATTAATAAGAAACCTAACTCATAAATAAAATATATCACCCAGGATACTCTTCCTCCTCCACCTCTTCCTTCCTATTCCCCTCCTTTTTTTGTTCCCTTCCTCTCTTTCTTTCCTTTTCATTCCTCCCCTCCTTTTCTCTTACTTTTTCCCTTTTTCCTTCCTCCATTAAAAAACATGTTTTTTCTTATAATGTGGTATTGTGGGGTTTCATAGTTGAGCTTTTTTACATGATAAAATATCCTCTAGTAATCGGTTCTTGAGATCAGATAATGGGATGCTGTCTTCCAACGATATGTTTGCATCACTGGCCTTATGCACCCTAGTGATACTGTAATTGGTGTTTGTTGCTTTATTATACCACAGGAAATTACCTGGGAAAGATATAGGACTATATGAAGTGTCAGAGACAGCTGTAATTCATGGCCCATTTATATGTGGAAAAATTAGCTCTTAGTAATATGATTTGAGTAGAAAAATAATTTCTAAGATTAAATGAGAACTGAAAATTTTGTATTGTAAAATCAAACTCCCTCATGGCCTTATGATAGCTTTTTGAAATGACAAATAATAGCATAACATAAACTTTATGGTTGGTGGAAAGTGCATGCTGTGTTCTAATTACAGGGATACTATCATTTCAAAGGCTGAGATTTCTGATGGAATTTGGCTGTAATGTAGACTTTAATATCCTATTGTGTAGTATCATTTCTTAAATCTGTTTTACAGCATCTTGAGGTTATAACTTCTTAGTGTGCTGTTGATTGAATGGTCTGAATGAAATATCCCTTTAGGTCTATTTTCCAGTGGCTCAAATGCAACTTCAAGAAACGTACCCTTGCTTATACTAAACAACAGTTCTTATTCTTTGCTGTAGGACAAGAAATGGATTCTCAGTCATGAAGATGTCACATTGGGAGAATTACTGGGCAAGGTATGTAATCAACTGAGCTAAATAACTAGAAGTCTCTATATTGATTCTGAAGACTGCAGATTTTTTCATTTTCTTCAAAGCTTTTCTTATATTGCTGCGAGGCACATTACACATTAACTAGAATGCAATACTGTATCTGTTATCAATATTGTGATGCTCACTGAAATAGATGTGTGAAAGTCTTTGAAAGGTTTAAGGATGATTCTTAACTTTTAAGAATATTATGTGTGTGTTTTCCCCTGGAAGGACTAAAAATCATAATGATTTTATTTCAGTATGCAGTAAACTTAAAACTAGTGAACTGAGATTTGAAAAGAAACAGTGAGATAATAAAAGTTTAAATAAATACCCAAAAGTCTTGTTCTTTTTGTTTCTGGTTACATGTGATAGTTCAGGAAAAAAATGGCATACAGCCTCTTGGGATTTCAGGATTGTATATAGAATTACAGTGTGTAACAATGCTGGAACACTGGGCATATCTGAATCTAAAAATGTGGACAAGATACTTGTTTCAATATAAATATTAATTTTATAACTAGTTCTATTAATCAGAAAAAGCAACTATATATAATAAAAGTCCCTTTTCTTCCAACATAGTTGGAAGTTTCTTTGAACTCATAGGCCATAGTCAAGTATATGTTATTTAACAATAATGGCGGATACTTGAGAATTAACCAAATGGACTATTTGAAAATTTATTAATAATAGTTTATTTATAATTGAGTTCCAGTGAATAAGTACTCACTTTTTTGTAAATGACTTAATTAGTGATGTTTCTATTAATATATAAAAATACAAATTCAGTTTATCTTCATGGCGTGATACAAAAAATAGTATAAAATATATATTTAGGAAAAGCTAATATACGTATGAGTGATCAGTACTGAACTTAATTAAGGCTCAACATTTTAGATAAAGAAATGATTATTCATTAATTTTTTAATTCAAATGTAAACTTGATGAATTGACTGTTTTCCCCTATTTTTAAAAAAGTTCTGAGAAAGTAAATGTCTGTTGAAATAATGTAGTTTGCAGGATTCTTATCATGTATTATTTTAAAATACCTTTCCCAAATGGAAGCATCAGATTGTTATTGGAAAGCAGATTTTTATCGGCATATTTAGTAAGTAAATTCTAAAGAACTTCAAGCTAAAAGCAGTGACTCATATGTTATTTCCTCTGGATTTCTTTCCTCATCCTTAAGGAAATATTTCTTCTTTCCCTTGCTCTAAGTAACTTAGTAGCAGTGACTAGAACAAAAAATATTACAAAGATTAATTTACATGATACAGTTAAATAATAAATTGTAAAACTAAAGCATTTACTGAAATAAAGGCAGAATATGTTGAGAAGGACAGACTTTTTAGTACTATGGAAAAAATATTTTTAATTAAAGAGAAATATTTCTATTTTTGTGTTTAGTTTATGCTATAAAGTATTAGGAGGAATTTGTCTCCTTAGACTATTTCAAAGAATAATTATTTTCTCAACAACAAGTAATATGTCAGTCTCAATGAATTTATTTTAAATAAAAGACTGTGACTTCGAGGCAATGTGTAGCTTAATTTCATCCAGTATTTTTAAGTACAAGAAAATGGTTATTTAATATTTTCCACTGCCTATTTTAAATAATCATTTACAGTATACTGCTTAAGAATGCATGGCTAATTAAGACAATTAGCCGTGGTTCCTGTCGTTAGAGATTTTGGAGTTAAGTTGTAATATAAGATAATGGCAGGAATGCTGAGGTTTTTTTGTATTCAGCACTGTATTTTTAGTAGACTGTACTTGATATACAGTATCAGGTGCAGCTATAGTCGATAGTTGGTATTCAATAAATATTCAGTCATCCAGTGTTTTTTGAATGCCTACTATGTGCAAGGCACTTTTCTGGGCACATTTTACAGTATCAATGAACAAGTAGCCAGAAATCCTTTCTCTTATGGAGCTTAATAATCTCTCTAGGAGGAGAAGATAAACAATAAGCATAATAAATAGGTAAATTTTGTAATGTTAGAGGGTGCTAAGTCCTGTGAAAAATATAGAGGGATTGGAAGTGTTACTAGTTGTAGTTGCTGTTTTTAGTAGGAAATCCAGATAAACCTTATTATCTTATGTTTACTTTTGAATAAAGACTTGAAGGAGGTGGGAAATTTAGCCACATGGACATCTGAGGGGAGAAGGATCTATGCAGAGTAAACAGCCAATGCAAACTTTGTTTGAAGAACAAGGGAGGCATTTTGGTTGTAACAGTAAGCAAGGTGAATGTGATAGGAGAGGAAGTCTGTAAGGTGATGAGGGTATAAATTACATTGACCTTGTAAGTCATTATAATTACGTTGGCTTTGATTGTGAATGAAATGGTGAGCTGGTGGGCAATTTTGAGAGGAGGAATGGCATGATCTTTTTAAAAAAGTTATTCTGGGAGTTGTGAAAATAGGCTGACAACTTGGAAAGGTTAGGAGGCAGTTGAACTTACCTGACTAAAAGATGATGCTAGATTAAGATGATAGCAATTGAGGTGGTGTGAAGTAGTGAGTTCTGGAGGTATTTTTGAAATTGAATCAATTGAATATCCTGATGGACTCTGTATGTGGGGTATTAGAGAAAGATTTCAGTCCTAAGTGTAAAAGATTTCAGGGAACGAGAAAAGATGTTCAGTTTTGGATATATTGAGTTTTTCTATTAGACTTCCAAGTGGGGATGATGGAAACTATTGGGTATCAAGTCTTGAGTTAGAGAAAAGAGGTCTGAGTCAAAAGTACAAATCTGGTAGTTGTTAGTATATAGCTGGTACTTAATACAATTAGATGAATTCAACAATGGAGTGAGTCTAGATGAAGAAGAGAAGAAGATCAAGGATTGAGCCTTGCTCACTGGAACACTAAGAGGTGGAAATACGAGAAGCAATCCCCAAAGGAGGTTGAAAAGAGCAGCCAAGTAGGAAGGCAGAAAACCAGGAGATATGATGCCTTGGAAGACAACAGGAGAAAGTATATACCAAGGAAGAGAGTGATCAGTTGTGTCAGATGATGCTGAAAAGCCAAACGAGATGGGATTTAGCAATGAGAAGATCACTGGTGACTTGACTGAGCAGTTTCCTTGGGATGCTTTAGGTGAAAGCCAATTTGGAATGGATTTGAGAAGAACGGGAGGAGAGGATTAGAGGTAGCAAAGATGTAATTCCTTAAAGTTTTGCTGCAAAAGAAATCAGAGATGTGGGGTGATAGTTTCAAGAGAATGATTTGTGCTTTGTAACTGTTATTGTTTAACTTGAGAAAAATAATAGCATACTAGTTTGCAGTTGGGAATGATCTAGTGAAAATTCATCATTTAAGAGAGAGAGAGAGAAATTGCTACAGCGTCATCCTTGAGTAGGTAAGAGGGGATGCAATTTGGTTCACAATGAAGGATTGACTTTAATAGAAACACAGTAGTTCACTTTTTATAACAGCGAGGAAGATTGGTAGGTGGGTCAGTAGAGCAACAAGAGCCCAAAGTTCTCTTTACATTGCTTCGATTCTTGAAATGAAGTAGGAAGCAAAAGCATCAGCAAAGAATGAGGATAGGAGATTTGAGAAGAGAATAGAAGAGAAGCAGTCATCCAGAAAACAGGGAGTGTGAGTGATCTAAAAAAATATAATGTGATTATTGAGTACGTTAAGGGCCCCCTAAGGGTTTGTGTTCATGAATTTAAAGTTAAATCAGTCAGCTTGATTATGGTTTTTCTCCAGCCATATTAGCTTTATAGGTGCAGAGTAGGAAGAGTTTTGGATTTAATCAGACTTGTAGATTTGCCAAGGGAGTTTTACAGATTAACAGAAGAGCAAATAAATTGAGAGTGTATGGGAAGGCAGTTGTAATTATTGACCATGGAATTTAAGGTGGAATACAGGAGGAGGAGAATATAATAAGAGAATGATGTAAAAATTGATAGAACCTAAAGACTGTCAGTTCCTATGAAGTCAAAGGAGTTTTGAAGTCTGGATAAGTATTCCAAAAAGAAGAGGAAGTAAGCTAGAAAGATAGAAGCCAACCAGAAGATGAGACAAATGAAATAGATGTTATAGAGCATTTGCATTATAGGTATGGCACAGTTTTAAGATATGACCCTAGAAAATAGATTGGAGTGCAAGATAATTGGAGGAGAGATGATCAAGAAACTGAAAGTTTGAATTGTTGGAAGGACCTTTAAATGTCTATTGAAATTACAAAGTATTAGGACACTGGGTAGACTGACAGTTACCCAAGGGCTCAAATTGTCAATAAACAAAATGTTTTCAAATTCAGTAAATGACAACTGGAGTGAGGAATAGTGGGTAATATAATTGAGTGACAAATTTTCAAAGCTGAGAGTTTCAGGAATGTGTGAGAGATAATGGTTTAAAACCAGTAATAAGTAGGTAATAGAACACTGTGTTCTATCTGCAGGGCAATGGTAGGATTATATGTGGGGAAAATAAGTCATCACTTAAGTTTAGATAGCAAAAGGAAGTTCATCCACCATTTGGGTCTTCTCAAATAAGAGCCATTATTTTCTTAGAACAGGAAGTTAAAGGAAATGATCAAAGAATAGATTAAAAATATAATTTTGAGGATGATGGACCATGAATTCCAGAAGGCACTATGCAAGTTGGGGATAGATGAGAAAGGAGGATCAAATAGAAGTATGCTGAATCTGAGGGAGCTGGAGAGGGAGAGATGAAGATTAACCTAGGACCACGGTCATCTTACATTGACTGATGTAAACACAGTCAAGGGGCATAAGATTTGTCCTCAGGGACTGGAGGGCAGCAGCAGAGATGAAGTCATGCTTCATGACTTTTCGTCTCACCCTTTGCATCTTAGAAAGGTTAACCTGATTCAGGATCTCAATTCTGTCACCTAAGCTGATCTCATATTCAGCCCCCCACCTCCCCTTTAAAGCAAAGGTTTGCGTTGAATGATTCAGTGATACAGAGTGATGAGTGTCCTGGGCTTCCTCCTCACTTCTTTGGATAGAGAAGAGGTGGTCTGGGAAAGCATAGTCGTTTCTCAGTGTCTGAAGATTGTCCCCCTGACCACCATTGATAGAGTTGACATTCTCTGGATAATGGTTGCTAAATTAATGTTTAAATTTTTCAAATGCCTAGTACATGCCAGTACCTCTTAAAATAGGGCAGAAACCATTAGAAAGACACAAAGGGCAATGGGGAGATGTGTATTCAGGGACAGGAGACATAATTTTGGGAAAATCAAGAAAGTCTTCATGAACAAGGGGCATAAGAAATGGACTTAAAGATGAGGTATCAGCTTCTAATTGGAGGTGGGAGTTTTCCACAGAGGAAAAAATGTAGAAAAGGCATGACACGTATTTAGGGATCACTATGTATTTGAGTTCAGAACACATAACAGTTGGGGGTTATAATATGGAGCTATATAGAGGCCAAGAAAGTGATAGTAATTGAAGGATGGATATTGAGCAAAGCAGTAGTATAATCAGAGTTTTCTCTGGAAGGATTAATCTGGCAGTGCTGTTCTAGGTGGTTTAGAGAGGTGAGGGACTGAAGATGAGATCAGCTTAGGTAACAGAATTGAGATCGTGAATCAGTGTAACCTTTCTGAGGTGCAAGGGATAAGACAAAAAGTATTATGGAGGTAGGGTCTGAATGCTTACAAGGCAAATGATGGTTCTAGTAACTGAAAAAAGTAATATAGCCAGGAAAAATCTTTTGATTAATAGAACAGTAAGTTTTAGACAAGCTGAGGCCCAGCAGTACTATGTAAATTAATAATATCTTCTCTCTACCTCTGATGTAATAAATAATCTGACAATTGTGGGTAAAAGACAATCTCTTGAGAATAACAGAGATGCGAAGCTCAAATTTTCCTTTTTTAAATTTATCATGAATGTTTACTGTTTAAGTATGTTTATTTTTATGAAAACATGATTTACCATTGTTTTATAAATATTTGAGTTGACTATTAAATAGTAAAAATTGAATATGACTTGTTAAAAATATTTTAAAGTATTTTAATAATTTATTAATAAGCAATAGTTCAAGGTATAAATTTTGTGAACTTTAAGCATTAAGAGTTACATTCATCTTAGTGCTCTAAAAACTCAGTAAGTATAGCAGACTTCTAGTTTAGTTACTTCTTGCTCAACAATAGCATTAAAGTTTATTATAAAATGTTTGCATATGCTGGGCGCGGTGGCTCATGCCTGTAATCCCAGCAGTTTGGAAGGCCGAGGCGGGCAGATCACGAGGTCAAGAGATCGAGACCATCCTGGCCAATATGCTGAAATCTTGTCTCTACTAAAAATACAAAAATTAGCTGGACATAGTGGTGCGCGCCTATAGTCCCAGCTACTCGGGAGGCTGAGGCAGGAGAATCGCTTCAACCTGGGAGGCGGAGGTTGCAGTGAGCTGAGACTGTGCCGCTGCACTCCAGCCTGGTGACAGAGTAAGCCTCTGTCTCAAAAAAAAAAAAAAAAAGTTTGCATTGTATGATTATAGCTATGTAAAAAATACATATGCAGTGTAAAAAAACCTAAGAGAATATTCAAGAATAGCTGTTGTGCTAGTGTGTTAGCCTTATTTTTCTTCTCTGTAATGTTTTGAATTTAATTTTTAAAAATAGATTTCAAAATTTCTTCTCTTCTAAAATAAATGCACCATAAATCAAGCTTTTTTTTTTTTTTTTTCGAGACAGAGTCTCACTGTGTTGCACAGGCTGTAGTGCAGTGGTGCAGTCTCCGCTCACTGCAAGCCCTGCCTCCCGGGTTCATGCCATTCTCCTGCCTCAGCCTCCCAAGTAGCTTGGACTACAGGCACCCGCCACCACACTCAGCTAATTTTTTTGTATTTTTTTTGTAGAGATGGGGTTTCACTGTGTTAGCAAGGATGGTCTCGATCTCCTGACCTTGTGATCTGCCCGCCTCGGCCTCCCAAAGTGCTGGGATTACAGGAGTGAGCCACCGTGCCCAGCCAAATCAGGCATTTTATACCAAAATATGTCCTAGCCATAGAGTAAAGTTAGAAGTTCTTATGTCTGATAGAAATTAGTTAATCTCAGGTGATACTGACATGTAGGTAAGCACCTTCCTCCTCCTTGGTACCTTTGCTTGTATTTGGTGAAGATTTACATGCTGTCATTTACCCCAGACAATGAATATATTTCTGTTTTCAGGGAAATTTTGGTGAAGTATATAAGGGCACATTAAAGGATAAAACTTCTGTTGCTGTTAAAACATGTAAAGAAGATCTTCCTCAGGAATTGAAAATAAAATTTTTACAAGAAGCCAAGTGAGTTATTTAAATTAATCAAAATATGTATTTGTTATGTAAATGATTTATTAAAATGTAGGTTTGAAGGCATCTTAAATTGTGATTTACTGAAATAGTAGGGGTAAGCACTTTTACAATGTGGAATCCAAAAGTCTATCCTTTTGTAATAGTCTGCAGATCAATTCAGCAATCATAGTCAAACCAAGTGTTAAAAAGCAGTATTATTCAAGTTCTTAAAATGTTACATTATTTTGCGTTCATCACACATACATATACGTATATGTATATATGCAATACTGTGCTTATTATAAAAAATTAGTATATTATGTACATGAACTGTACAGCTTACATATACATTTAAGTAGATAATTAAATCTGTCCTACTCTCCTTAGATAGTACTGCTTGGTTCTGTTTTCTCAGCCGTTAGGTTTCATTTCTGAGAACCTCAGATTTCTTCACCTCAGTATCTGGCATTTCTTCTAAAGTTTGCATATTTTTTTGTTTCTAATCTTCTAAGATGATTGATTCTCTTTTTTTTTCTATTATTAGCTAAATAATAGAAAATAATATCTGCTACCTATGTTGCACATACTTAAAACTCTTCTGTTAGTGGTAAAATTGAGTATATATAACAAAACACAAAACAAATGCATCTTTCCAGAAGCCACTTTGGAAAGAGTAACCTGGATGGACATGTGGGTGGGAAATGGATGAATTGATGGACAGATGGATGGTTGGATGGATGGATAGGAAAGGAAGAGGATACATGGATCCATATGTTTTTGTGTATTAAAAGGAAAGTGCAATGGGAGAATATTGCCATGGCAACAAGAGAACTATTCATAAGTTACATGGCATAGAGCCATGTATATATACTAATATATATACTAATTCATCATCTAAAAATGAATAATGGCAATGGCTAAAGTAGTTGGATGCATTTATGAAATGTTATCTGCAGAGTAAAGCAGTAAACCTTTTTCATGACTTGTTGGCAAGTCAGAAAAGAAATTGTGATGAATTAAAAGGCATGTGAACACAACTGAAATTCACAGCCTCGTTATTTTACAGTTGTTCATAAGTATTAAGGTAAAAGACTGTGCCTCACATGTTTTCAAAAATATTTAAATTTCTTGCTTTCTAACTTTTTTTATTGCAGAGTTTAATTTCTTCTTTTAAGGTGAAATTATAGTTTTATGTTAAAAACGAAACTTACATTCATGCAAACTTCCAAGTGTCCTCTAGTATACACTAGAAGTATATATTTAGATATTTAATATTATCTGAGTTCATGCTGTATTGTGCACATTTCTTAGACAGTTTCTAACCTGTGAAATTAAAGTATTAAAGTCAAACATCATTAAACTTTTCTTTTAAATTTCTAGTAGAAGTTGCAAGGCCAAAGTTATTGGCAGAATATTTCCTTTAGAATTCTTGCCACTCTGTCTTTTCATTTCTATCTTTTTATATTGTCTAAAACATTTTTATAGCTCTCCTTGCTTTAGTTGTACATGTACAATACATGCATACATTTTTTGTCTTTCTCCGAAGTTACCTTTTTCGTTCTCTTAGGAAAGGATATAGCAATTTTCAAATATGAGTGAATTTATAACTATGTTGATAAGATAATAAAGAATAAGATTTGGTAATAGAAATAATTGGGACAGACAGGCATCTGAGGGAATTTAGTTTATTTTTAGCTCATGTTTGGAGTTCTATAGGTGATTGCATTATCAAGTAGAAGGGGCTCACTGCCCAATGTGCTAGAAGCCAATACCGTGACACCAGGTCTTTGAGAAAAGAAAAACTTACTGTTAAACATCAACTGTTAATGATTTCAGAGCAATATTTTTATTGGAAAAGGTTGAGGGGGTAGATTCTGAAATTACTAAGTGATTAGTGGAAGGGGAAATGGGAGGCCTGGAAAGTCCTTGGCCACACACGGTTATCTCTTCATGCAATCTCATGGTTCATATGTGCAAATCCAGGGAGAGTTAGTCTAAACTATGTACTGGAAATTCAGGCCGTGATGTTAGCAAGCTTGTTCCTGCATAGATGCCAGTTAGCCCTATTTCTTCTAACCAATTTCAGCAGTTCTTTTATAAACAACGGGAGTTTCAGTGATAGAGCAAGTTGTTTCTTTTTTTATGTGCTATCCTGCAAACTCAAGAATTTTTGTTAGTCATTACTGTGCTGCGATTTTTTTCTTAACTCTTTAGGGACATGGTTTCAAGTCTATCCTACTTTCATAGCCCACTGATGAAATTTTGCCCTTATCCAAACAAAGTCAACTCTGCTTCAGCTGAAGTCTCTGTTGAAACTCTATTATTCAATTATCCATTTGCCAACTTTCTCAGAACTTTTGTTTCTACCATTTTGAAATTGATCCTGATCAAGAAAGTATTTAACTATTACAAAATCCAATGAAATGTAGCATTTACCAGTATAAAATGATTTCTTATTTTCTGTATTTTAAAATCAAGTATGTGTGTTAAAAATAAATATATGTATGCTGCCCCAGCAGCTCACAATTTTTGGCCCACTAATACTTTTCAGCTATACTTTTGTGGTAGTGGCTAAAACCAGATATTATAATTTGAAGAGAGTTGTACATGTTTTAGATTAACTAGTTCATTTCTATTTAACATGGTTGTTAATCATTCAGAGTAGATAATAATTTTTAAAAGAATATTTAATTAAGGATAATTGACTCATTTGCATCCATATTATGTTGCCAATATATACCAGTATGGTTGGGCCTCTGTGTCCATGGGTTCTGTATCTGTGGATTTGATGAGCCACAGAAAAAAAATATTAGGGGGAAAAAAGTTGATGATTGCATCTGTACTGAACATGTACAGAATTTTTTTCTTATTATTCCATAAACCATACAGTATAACAACTATTTATATAACGTTTACGTTATATTAGGTCTTATAAATAATCTGGAGATGGTTTAAAATACGTGAGAGGATGCATGTAGGTTATATGCAAATATTGCACCTTTTTGTGTAAGAGACTTGAACATGCATAAATTTCAGTATCCACGGGGGTCCTGGAACCAATCTCCTACAGATACTGAGGGAAGACTTTACTCATTTGTATACATCTAATTTATCATAATTTGGGGTCATACTACAATTTTAAGAATTGAATTATGATTCAAGAGTATTCTAGTTGTAAACACTATGTGTGATCACAAATTAATGCTTTATTATTCAAATGATAACTATTCTTATATTTTCATGTCATCTAGAATTCTCAAGCAATATGATCATCCGAATATTGTCAAACTTATAGGAGTTTGCACACAAAGACAGCCTGTCTACATCATTATGGAACTGGTTTCAGGTAATGTGATCTGATAATTTTGCATGATGACATTTTAATGTCATGTTTTATTGTTTTTATATGTTCAGTCTCTTTGATTTCTCCTTGTAAAGTTTCCAAGGATTTTGTCTAACATTTCCAGATAACAAAAGAGTCTGTACCTATAGTCAGTATTTTTATAGGCTGTAACACTTTGCTGTTTTCTAGAAAATGTCAACTGCTTTTTTAAAAAGACAGATTTATTATTAGAATATAGTTACATATGGAATTCAGTTATATATAATCTTTATGTGCAAAACACTAGAAAAAGATAGTGTACTTAGACTTTATAACAGTGACAGTACTATCTTATATTTAGTTCATTGTATATCATTTTCCAAGTACATCTCCACACAACCTCTCTTCTAAATGTTTGAATTAATTTTTAATAATTTTTTTGTAGAAATGGAGTCTCACTATGTTGCTCAGGCTGGTCTTGAACTCTGGGGTCATGTGATTCTCCTGCCTTGGCCTCCCAAAGTGCTGGGATTACAGACATGAGCCACAGCACCCTGCACAATCTCTTTTTTGATGGTCATATGTGATAATCTCGCAATGCTTTGACTCACTTTTGAATTATGAACTTCTTTCATATGTGGACAAACAAAAGTGATCAGTCTATGAATATGTCTTGGTATTTATTTCTGGTGACTTTCAACACCTTTATGTTAACAACTTTTGACAAAGAAAACTTTGAAGTGCTATATTAATAGTATGTTTTAAAGTTTTTTTCATTGTCCAACGTCCTGTTGTAGAAAATACAATCAGAAGTAAAATTTGATCTCATAAGCTTTACAGATAGAGTATTTAATAAGTGAAAGGAATTTGCTTTACTTTTAAAAATTATTTACTCATTTTAGGAGAAATTTAAAGAAATATGAAAAACATTTCTAATTTTAATTAAAATATGTAAACATATTGTAGATAGCTCATTAATTTCTGCTTACAGAAATTAATTTTTCATGATTTGTAATTATTGGTCCTGTTTTGTTATACTACTTTGCTTGCTATTGAAATATTTCTCAATATTACCATGTAACTGCAGAATACCTAGCTCATTATCATCTTTATCCTCATCAGAATGGCATTGTCTGTGTTAGGTACATTGTATGTTTTAATGGTTTAAATGTGTAAATATTATAAATACATACTAACATTTATATGGATGCAAATGAAGCCCCTGAATAATAAGGAATGCCACTGAAAAACTTAGATTTGGGAGGTGGGACGGACTTGAGGAAAGGTGATTTTGGTCTTACTGTAATTGTTAAAGGGCCATAGATGCAAATTCCAGATGGCAAGTCCAAATTAAATAAAACAAAAGAAGATAGCTTTGTACAGGAGCCAAGCAAGTGTTTATCTAGACTCTGACTAGTAACCTCTGTTTGTATTTTTTAAATGAATAAGAATAATAAACTTCATTAGAAAATTGAAAATATAATGAAAGGTAGAAAATTGAAAATGAAACCTTCCACTCAGTCTCTCTCAAATTGCTGCTTACAGTTTTAAAATTTTTTTTCCAGAAAAATGTTTAATGCAGATGCTTTAAATTTAATTATGAAACAAATTATACTCCAACAGTATTTCAGATTTTGCTCTTTTTTTTGTTATTACTATAATGTGTGATGGTTTTACTGTTTTACAGTTATCTATACAATTCTACCTTTTTCTGGTAATGGCTGCAGAATATTCCATTTTGTGGATTTACATAATTTATTCAACCACAACTTTATTTGTGGATACTTTGGTCATTTTTATTATTTGTTTTTACAAAGTGTTCAATGAATATCCTTGGACTAACTGTAAGAATCATTTGGAAGTGTATCTATAGGTAAAAATTCAGTAGTGAGATTGTTGGATCCGAGTTTCTGTATTTTGATTTACGTAAATGTATTAGCTTTTGATTTCTCCATAAGTAATTATCACAATCTGAGGGCTTAAAGTGACACCCATTTTTTTTACCTGACAGGGTCTGTAGGTTAGAAGTCCTGACAGCCTTGACTGTGTTCTCTGCTCAGGGTCTTACAAAGCCAAAATCAGGATGTCAGGCTGAGCTGTTATCTGGAGACTCTGGGGAAGAATCTGCTACCAGACTTTCAGTTGCTGGCAGAATCGTGTTCCTTGCAGCTATACGTCTAAAGTTCCCATTTCTTTGCCTGCTGTCTGCCAGGGGCATCTCTTAGCTCCTTGAGGTTGCCTACATTCCTTTTCACATGGTCTTTCTATCTTCAAAGCCAGCATGGGCCTGCTAAATCCTTCAAGTGTTTTGAATTTTTCTAACTTTCTCTTATGTTACTAGGTAAAGAATACTCTCTACTTTTAAAAGGGCTTGTATGATTAGATCAGGCACACCTGGGTAATCTTATTTTAAGGTCAACTGTACATGATAGAACATATTACGAGTAGTACTTATACTCATAGGGATCCAGGTATTAGAGTAGGACATCTTTGGGAGGCCATATGCAAATTCTACCTACCATAGTAGATTTTGCTAAATTCTCCTAAAGGCTGTTTGCAATGTGCAATCTCAAACCTTACTCGTGAACTTTTCATATTCAGTTACATTAAGTTCATTCGTTGATCTTGCAGTTTGAATGCATCTTTTACCCGTGCATGATTTTATAATATTATGCTTCAGTCATTCGGAAAATATCAGATCACCAAGTCATGCAGATATTTCAAATAATGATATAACTCATTATGTAATATCACACATTTATTAATGTCACAAGTCTCATCAGAAAAGTAATGGAGGCGACTGGTAACAGTGGCTCACTCCTGTAATCCTAGCACTTTGGGAGGCCAGTGGGGTTGAATCATGAGTTCAGGCATTCGGGACCAGCCTGGCCAACATAGTGAAACTCCATCTCTACTGAAAATAAAATTAGCCAAGTGTGGTAGTGCATGCTTGTAATCCCAGCTACTTGGGAGGCTGAGGGAGGAGAATTGCTGGAACCCGGAAGGTAAAGGTTGCAGTGAGCCAAGATCATGTCACTGCACTCCAGCCTCAGTGAAAGAATGAGACTCTGTCAAAAAAAAAAAAACAAAAAAACAAGTAATGGAGGCTATCAAGCTCATTGTGGCAGATACATGTTTTGAACAAATCTATAGCACCCAAGTTTTCTCATGCCTCTTTGTAATTCCTTTTTCTACCTTTTACTACCCTGTCACAGCCAACCACTAAGCTGCTTTCTGTCACTATGAGCATTTCTCAGAACTCTTAAAAAATGGAATCATGCAGTAAGCACTTTTTTTCACTAAGTATAATTATTTTAAGATTAATCCCTATTGTAATGTGTATCAATAGGTCATTCTTTTTATTGCTGAGTGGAGTTCTATTTAATGAATATACTGCAGTTTATCTGTTCAGCTGTTCATAGACTTTTGGATGATTTCCAGTTTGGGGCTATTCTAAAGGAAGTTGCTATAAACATTACTGTACAAGCTTCATCTGGACAAATGCTTTCATTCTCTGGGGAAACTGCCTAGTAGTGGAATGAATGGATCATATGGCATTTGCATGTTAAATATTTTAAGAAACTACCAAATTACTTTCTAAAGTTTTTGTTCTAGTTTACATTCTCAACAGCAGTCCGTGATAGTTTCAGTTCCTCCACATCCTCGTCAGCACTTATTTGGCCTGGTTAGTTGTTAGTGTTTCTAATACTTCTATACCTTATTGTTATTTTAATTTGCCCTTTCCCACTGAATAATGATGTCCTTCTTGTTTTCATGTGCTTATTCGACATTTGTATATCTTCATTGGTCAAGTGTCCAAATCATTTGCCTATTTTAAAAACTGGGTTGATTGGTTTCTTACAATTGAGTCTTGGTTCTTTACATATTCTGGATACAAATCCTTTTTCTCTCAGTCTATGTCTTGTCTTTTCATTCTCTTTACAGTGTCTTTTGAAAAACATCTTTATTTTGATAAAGTTTAATTTATCTATTTTTTTCTTTTATGGATCATACTTTTGATGGTATATCTAAGAAAACTTCGTTGAACCCAAGTTCAACGAAATTTAAAAAAAAGTTTTTTTTGTTAATTTTACTTTTAGAAGTTTTAACGTTTTAAAATTTATAGTTGAGTGTAGGACCCATTTCAAGTTAATTTTTGTATATGGTGTGAGAAATGGTTAGAAGTTTATATTTTTGGCATGTAGATATCCAGTTGTTCCAGCACCACTTGTTTTAAATGACTCTTCTTTCTCTCTTGACTTAACTTTTTACCTTCATATAAAATTCATTTTTCCATACTTACATGTGACTTTATTTTTGAACTCTATTCTTTTCTCTCAGTCCTTTTGTCTCCATGCCAATACCACAATGTCTTGATGACAGTAGCTTTATAATAAGTCTTGACTCAGAAATAAATCCAAACATACACAGCCAACTAATTTTTGACAAGAAGGCACAAAGGGGAAAGGATAGTCTGTCTGACAGGTAGTGCTGGGAAAACTGCATTTTCACATGCAAAAGAATGAAATGGGACCCTTATTTATACCATACACAAAAATCATCTCAAATTGGATGAAAGACCTAAAATAAAACCAGAAAGTATGAAACTCCTAGAAGAGAACATGGGGGAAAACTCTGGGACATTGGCCTTGGTGATGATGTTTTGGATATTACAGCAAAAGCTCAGGCCACAAAAGCAAAAATAAATAGGACTATATTAAACTGAAAAGCTTCTGCACAGCAAAGGAAACAATCAGTACAATGAAACAGCAACCTACAGATTGCAAAAACTACTTGCAAATCATATACCTGATAAGGGGTTACTATCCAAAATGTATAAAGAACTCATACAACTCAATAGTAGAAAAGCAAATAACTCAGTTTAAAGATGGGCAGAAGAGGCTGGATGCAGTGGCTGACACTTATAATTCCAGCACTTTGGGAGGCTGAGGCAGGAGGATTGCCAGATCCAGGAGTTCAGACTGCCTGGGCAACGTAGTGGGATCCTGTCTCTGTGAATTTTT